TGTCTTAGCTCGGGCTGCCATCACAAAATACCACAGACCGGATGGCTTCGATAACAGGACTTTATGTCTCACAGTTCTGGAATCTGGAAGTCCAAGACCAAGGTCCATCAGGGTTCAGATTCTGGTGAGGGCTCTCTTCCTGGCTTGCAGATGGCCACCTTCTCACGGCATCTCCACATGGTCTTTCCTCTCGAGTGTGAGTGAGCAGGGAAAGAGAGAGTGACAGCAAACTTTCTGCTGTCTCTTCTTACAAGCATACTAATTCTATTGGACCAGGACCCCACCCTTATGACCTCACTTAACCTTAATTACCTCCTTATAGGCCCTCTGTCCTTGCAGGCCTTTTGTCACATTAAGGGTTAAGATTTCAACATATGAATTTAGCAGGGACACAATTCAGTCCATAGCAGGTGACACAGGGGAGAGGATGCTCTAGGTTTGGCAGGAATTGGAGGACCATCTGAGTAGGCCTGTCGGCTTGTGGAGGATTGACTGCAGCTTTCTCAGTGCGGGAGTAGTGGGACTGTCCTTGGCGGATGTGACCCTGACATACTTCAGAGGATGAGCCATGTTGCTCCAACACCTCCTCTCTGACCTCACCTGGGCCTGAGGAACTGCATCTCAGTCAGCCTAGCCAAAGGCCTGGAGAGAAAACCAGGGCATGTTTCTGCAGGAACTGTTCACACATTTTAAGCAAGCATCCTGGCTGAGCTGGGCCAGTGGAGAAAGCAAAGTTGAGTTTTGCTCAGAAGCTTTTATAAGACCATGGGCTTTTGTAGTCTGTCTGAAGTTGGATTCTGCCTCTTTTACTGACTAGCTATGATGTCTTGGACAAATAATGTAATCTCTGTGCCCAAAGATCTAAGTTAGGAATTGCAATAGCTGCTACTAATGGGAATCTTTTTTTTTTTTTTTAAGATTTTATTTATTTATCTGACAGAGAGAGAGCACAAGTAGGCAGAGTGGCAGGCAGAGGCAGAGGGAGAAGCAGACCCCCCGCTGATCAGGGACCCCGATGTGGGGCTCAATCCCAGGACCCTGGGATTGTGACCTGAGCCAAAGGCAGTCGCTTAACCAACTGAGCCATCCAGGCGCCCTACTAACAGGAATCTTAACCTCTTAAACAATGGGGACATTGAGTTCTTTCCTGCACACTTTCCATCTTTCTGCTTTGCCATCCTTAGCACGTGGATTCCACCTCCAAGGCTGCCTCATGTCCAAGATGAGTTGCAGGTGCTCTAGCCATCACATCTTCATTCCAGGCAGTGGGAGAGAGGGTAAGCAGGACACACATATTTTACAGAGCTTTTCCAGATGTCTGCCTTTTAAACGTTTCAGAAGTCCCATCAACATTTTCCTCTTACATTGTCTGAAAGTTATTCACAGGGCACAACCTGTGGCAAGGAAGACTGGGAAGTGTAGTCTCAGTGTGGCATGTTGCTGCCCCAAATAATATTGGGGTTCTTTTCTGAAGTGAAAGATTCAAATGGATATTGGGTAGGCATCTTGCAATTTCTGTTAACACTCAGTTTTTTTCTGCCTGCAATTTGGGGATTGTAATAATACCAACCTCACAGGAGTGTTGTGTTGCCTTGTACCTAGTAGAGACTCAATATGTGTTAGCTAAATTATTGTCTATCAAGAGTGCATGAAGTGAAAAAGGAAAATAATGTTGGCATTACTATGAAGATAGTTTTGACCTCACAGACCCAATGAAAAGGTCTTGGTGGGTGGGGGGAGCGGTGCTGGATGGCTCAGTCAGTTAAGCGTGTGCCTTCAGCTCAGGTCATGATCTAGGGTCCTGGGATTAAGCCCCGCATCAGCCTCTCCACTCAGTGGGGAGTCTGCTTCTTCCTCTCACTCTCCCTCTGTGCTCTCTCTCTCTCAAATAAATAAATAAAAATCTTTTTTAAAAAAGAAAAGGTCTCAGGGGTTCCCAGGACTCCCAGATTACATTCTGAGAACTGCTGCTTAGAGAATCAGATTATCCTTGGAGGGACTTGCTCCAGCATGACACCGAAAGAACATACAACCATCCTTTTACCTTTATGAAGTTTGGATAATTTTTGTTAACAGATATGACCTAGTTTTTATTTTTCCAAGATCGAGCATAATCTGTAATGCCCTGTGTATGTCTTTGTCTTTGCTCATCTTAGAAGTGTAAACCCCATGAGCACTTGCCACTGTGTTCCAAAGCTTGACATGTGGAAGTAGATCCACAGACAGAAACTTGACAATGTTGAGCTTTACCGACACCCTATGCTCCTGGAAAACAGTAAAGGTTAAGACCTCCCCATCCCAATCCACCCATTGTGTTCTGGAAAATAACTCATTGCAAAGAACCACCCTTCCTTCCCCGTATGACTTAAATAAGACTCAGGGATGCCCTCCTTGTTTACCCATGACAAGGCCAGACACAAACCCTCTAAATTCTTTCTTTGCCTCATACATGGTTAGCTGAGCCTCTTGTCCCCACTGATCAATCAGAACAAAATGCTTGTTTTAACCAAAATTCCATGAAACCTCTCTCCTTCATCCAGGCCCCTGAATGGACTTTAGCCTACCCTCAGCTTGAGCCACTATACAGTCCCTCTTTGAGAATAGGCTGGCCTCAGGTAGAACGTTCTCGTATCTACTTATCCAGTTCTGCCACCCTTTTGTCCTACTTCCCCACACCTGGTTCTTTTTAGCCTTGCTTACTCCTCTCTATAAAAGAAAAGCCCTTTCTAACTCTTGAGATGCTTGCAGACCTTATAGTCAGAGGGTTCTCCCTATGGCAAATCTTTTTCTCCCCTTGCAATAATCTTTTTGAATAAAATCTCTCCTAAATCTGGATTTGTTTTTTATTGGACATGCTGAATGGAAGAAACAAGTGTAACAGATCGGAGAGTGGCTATATTAATTCAGCTTTGCAGATTCTGATCTGACTCCTCTCCCTTTTAATCACATTCTTACATTCTGATGCCTAGACTTGCCAAATCCACCAGCCCATGACCAAGCCCTTTGGGCCAGGAGCACAGCTGTGGCTGACAGCGGGGCTTTACACATTAGGATTTGGATTGTGGTGCTGGCCCTCCCCTCCTCTGTACCTTGGGTCAGGTCACTTAATGTCTCGCCTGTTGAGCCACTATTTACTAAGTGTAGGCTTTGAACTGGACACAGGTTATAGTGAGCAAAACAGACGATAATTAGGGACAGGAGGATTCGGACAATAAAACAAGTAAATCAACTGAGAAGTGAGATGAAGAAACAGAATGTCCTGACAGAGCATGGAGGGAGCACCCAGGTATATGGGGTAGACAGGGAAGGCTCTGCTGAGAAAGTGGCTTATCTGAGGCCCAGGGGCCCGAAGGTCCAGCCATACCAGCAGCTGAGAGAAGGCTATTCCTGTGAAGGGCCAGGGGTGGGACATCTGGGTGTTTAAAAGCCAGAAAAAAGGGGAGAGTGGCTGAAAGGAATGAGTAAATGGCAGAGAATGCACTGGAGCCCGCTTACGGTCCGGGCCTTTGTCTGCCAAGATAAAGAATTCTACTTTTATTTTAAGTAGGATGGAAAGCCATAAAAGGGAGAGATCTTACTGTTTTAATCCTTTTGCTTTGTGGTTTAATTTGATTATTACTGAAATTTCATTTTTCTTCCCTATTAACCATTTGTATACTTTGGCGAATTGTCTGCTTATGCTCCCCACCCATTTATCTACTGGGCTGTGAAGTGACTTTCTCATTCATTTGATGAGGTTTGTCTCAATTAAGGATTTTAATCTTTTGTGGTGTTTGTTGCATATATTTCCCCCTGGTTACTGATTGCTTTTTAATTTTGCTTTCCTTTTTGGGGGTTGAAATTTTAAACCTTTGTGCTTTAGTGTATGAGAAGGTTCACCCATCACTATTAAGCTTAAGGAGTCCCCCGCCATCGACCTTGGGTAAATTGTGTTGTTTGTGATCCGTGTTGTCGTGGTTCAATGGTTTACATTGGTGGCCTTTTCTATTTTCGTGTGCGCGGAGGACCAAACTCCTCCGGTGGTGGGGAGGACTTCAAGATGTGGAGACCCCTGGCCCACCCCGGCCGAGCCAGAGCGGGGTGGGGAGCCCTTCCCAGCCGGAGGCCGCAGCAGGTGGCACCCACTCTCCTGCGAATCCGCCCCCTCGTTACACAGTTGACACAGAGGGCGGGGCCAAAGTCCTCTTCTACAGGTGAGAAAGCTGAGGCTCAGCAGAAAGCTGGGAGGGGGAGGTAAGCCTACAGCAGAAGCAAAAACTGCAGCTGGGCAGAGCTGGTGCCCGGGTGGCGGGCAGGGGGGCGGGGCGAGGGTCCGGTCGGAGAGCTAGAGCCCCGCCCCTCCCCGGCCCCGCCCCCCCGCCACCTTTCCTGTACTGACCTCTCAGCACAGCCCGGCTCATTCCGGAGCCCGCGCAGCGCTGATTTCATTGGCTGCCTCGCCGTCCCCGCCCCCTGGAGACCTGCTGATTTTCGTAGCCAATCAGCAGGCACGGCGGCGGCGGCGGCGAGTCTCGGCGGAGACCGGGTGCTGAGGTACCGGGGTTGGCAGGAGGGGCCGCGGTCCTGGGAGGGGGACCGCGCGGGCCCTCAGCGGCGCCGCGGCTGAGAGGTTGGGCCACCCTCCTGCCTCGGGGGCGAGCCACCCTCCTGCCTCCGGAGGGGCGGCGACCGCCACCGTCCGGGGCTGGCCGGAGGTTGTTGGGGTTGAGGGCAGAGGTCGGAGGTCGTGCCTTTGTGGAATGTTGGGGTCCCGCCCGTCTAAGCCTAGGAGCGGGCCGCGCCCCGTTTTGTTTTTGTCAGCGCCTGTGTGGGGACCGCCCTCCTTGCACTGAAAGGGCTCTGAGGGAAACAGGCCTGGGAGCCGCCAGGGCCCCTCGCAGGCCCTGTGCTCTGAGGGGAGGCCGGCGGCCCTCGGGTCCCCGAGGACGGCCGCCGCCTCCCTCCTGCCGGCCCGCGGGTCTGGAGGGTGCGGGCAGGAGGGGGAGGGCGGCACGGTCGCGCGGGGGCCACTGGCTGCCCCCGAAGGCGCCGCTCCCCTGGGCTCCGAAGGGCCCCGCGCCAGCGCTTCTGAGGCTGTCATTCCCCGTGTTTGAGATTTCGTTTCTGGAACCTCACTCGGACGGTCCCAAGAGGGGAAAGCGGGTAGTGTGGCTTTTGCACTTGGCTGGAGGTGAAAATAAAAACCAGGCGCGGGATGTAATGAAGGCAAAGGGACCTGTGAGAAAGTGGACGAATTTCTGAGCTCGACAAGAATTTTCTGCCCATCTTGGCCCACATACTACGTAGTTCAAGCCTGGGGTATTGGAAATCAGAGTATTTTATTCTCCTAGTTCTCATAAGCAAGTGCCCTTAGTCTTGACCTTCTTGGCGAGGATGCTTTGGAATGTGTAAAGTACTGAACAAGAATTGTTTTGTACAAAAGTTCGAAGTTAAGATTCTCAGAGCAAGGAAGCTGGGAACAGCCCTTGCCTCTCATTGCAAGGATCCCAGCAGCTGCTTTACCCCTCTGAGACCAAAAAGAGAAGTCGTTTCTTTATCTGTGTGGGTTTTGGGGAGACACCAGCTATGGATGAGGAATAAGGGGGATGCAATTAGGGGAAAATGCTATTTTTATATGCCTCTCACCCACCCCATCTCAGCTAGCGTAGAACCCATTATTTTTTGTACTGATGGTGTCTGTTGAGTATGTACAATGATCAGGGAAAGGAGGAATCTCTAACAAGACACTTCTCTTTAATATAGCTGCAGAGCAGTGAATGTGCCTTATGTGGAATTAACCATGGGGTTTGGTTTTCAGTTGAGAATATGAGGCAGAAGGAAGTGTTAACCAAGACCTTCCAAGGCCCAGCCATTGTCTGTAGGACTCCGACCAGCCACGTTTACATGTTTGAGAACGGTGGTGGGGACTCGGGGGACTCCTCTGAGGAAGAGTCCCACCGCGTGGCTCTGCGGCCCCGGGGCAAGGAGCGCCAGAAGAAGGGTGCCCATCACCCTCCCCAGCCAGGAGCAGGTGACGTGGTGCTGCTACAGCGGGAGCTGGCCCAGGAGGACAGCCTCAACAAGCTCGCTCTTCAGTATGGCTGCAAAGTAAGAAACCCCGCAGGTGAAGGTGTCACCTGTCCCTCGGCTCCTGTGTGTTTAGAGGAACAGAGCAACTCACTGAAGGGTGGGGGCCCTTGCTGCCCCTTCCTGACCCCGCAGAGGTGGTTTGGAGAGGCCTCTTGTAGCCTTAAAGGACGCCCCCCTTCCCCCACCCATCTAGCCAGAGATGGAAGGCAGGTGGAAGTACTTTAAAGTCTGAACCTTGGGATCATGAAAAGTGAGGGTTAGGAATCTCACGTGTTGGGGCAGTTCCCTCTCTGCAGAGTACTTCTCTCACTGTCCCTCCAAACTGAATTTCAGAACCCCCCCCCTTTTTTTTAAAGTAGGCTTCATGCCCAGTGTGGAGACCAGTGGGGGGCTTGAACTTGCAATCCTGAGATTAAGACCTGGGCTGAGATCAAGAGTCAGATGCTCAGGGGCACCTGCATGGCTCAGTCGGTTAGGCCTCTGCCGTCAGCTCAGGTCATGATCCCGGGGTCCTGGGCTCGAGCTCCACATTGTGCTCCCTGCTCAGCGGGGAGTCTGCTTCTCCCTCTCCCTCTGCCCTTCCCCTGGCTTGTGCTTTCTCTCTCTCTTTCTCTCTCTGTCTCTCTCAAATAAATAAAATCTTAAAAAAGTCAGATACTCAGCTGACTGAGCCACCCAGACACCCCTCCAACCCCACACCTTTTTTTTTTTTTTTTTTTTCTTCTTTTTATCTCATTTTATTTAAGACCTACTAGGGCCAAAGATGCCAGG